GAGTTAATTTTTTGATTTTTATTACCTGAATTACTATATTCAGCCCTATTGTTTTAGTTTTTATAATTTATTTCAATGGCACACTTAATAGCGACTTTTGGCGATACGTTCACATTAATTGACGATAATGTAGCATTTTGCAACTGCTGTTCGGAAAATATCGTGCTTCTTGCAAAGCGGCAAAAATTGCAGGTGCATATAGATACCAAAACACATCAGCAAAACATGAAGGGACCATCGAGCAAAGAATTTTTTGAAGACATTTGCCAAGCTTTTTGTTAATTTGTGTTAATTGTGTTAAGTAACACAACTATATTTTGCAGATGAATTGTCTAGAACTTATAGCAATGAAAAAGATTTTAAATTTGATGAGGAGGAAGTTAATTTACAAACTGCTATGATAAATTATATCTCAGTAAGCTCAGAAAAAATACAGAAAATTAAAGAGTATACAAAACATGATTTGGAATTACAAACATTAAGTGAAACTGTTAAAAAAGGTTGGCCAAATAATAAAAAAGGTGTTACAGATATATTAAAACCTTATTGGAACCGTAGCGACGAAATTAATGAAATAAATGGGTTAATGTACTGTGGAACTAGTATAATTATTCCAAATCAAATAAGATCTGAAATTATAAATAGATTGCATTATAATCACATGGGAATACAAAAAACGATAAATAAAGCTAAGGAAGTAGTTTATTGGCCATTCATGACAGTTCAAATACAAAATAATATAGCAAATTGTGTAAGTTGTTTAAAGTATCAAAATTTAAATTCATCAGAACCAATGAGTGCAAAAGAAATTCCAGAAAGACCTTGGCAAATAGTTGCTACTGATTTGTTTCAATTAAAGGATATAATTAAAGGATGTATTTAGTAAATTTCCAGAATTGATTGAACTCAAATATAATACTACATCAGTTACAATAATAAACCATTTAAAAGATATCTTTGCTAGGCATGGTATACCAGAAATTTTATATACTGATAATGGACCACAATTTTCAAGTAGTGAATTTTATAAATTTGTGAATGATTGGGATATTTTACATAAAACAAGCTCACCAACATATGCACAATCGAATGGTTTTATTGTGAGAAATGTACAAACCATAAAAAAGATTTTGAAAAAAGTAAAAGAAGACAATCGGGATGAAAATATTGCGATTTTAGAATATAAGAATACGCCATTGGAAAATAATACACCTACACAGTTACTATTTGAAAGAAGATTAAGAGGAGTTCTTCCAGTGTACTCGAAATTATTAGAACCACATTATAAAACAAAGGATTTTAAGGAAAAACTCAAAATTAGACAAGAAAAACAAAAACACTATTATGATAAAACGACTAAAAAATTAAAACCGATTCAAATTAATGACAAAGTAATAGTACTTTTTGGTCAGGGAGAACCAGGTAAAATTGGAAAAGTAATTGAGATAGATGATAAACGACCTGAAACTTATAAAGTTGAGTTGGATAAAAATGGACAAGTTTACTATAGAAATCGAAAATTTTTAAAACCATATAACACGGATGATGAATATGTATCACATGAACTGTATGAAAGAATGTTTAATGAGAGATTACAGGATATGACTAAGGAAGAAGTTGAGAAAAGAGAAGAAGAGTTAGAGGTGAGAGAAGATAGACAAGAAGATATGGAAGGGTCGGGAGAAATACATAGAAACGAGCTAGAAAATCTAGATGTTTCTAAAAAGTTAAAAATTGAGAGAACTATAAGACCACAAAGACAAAAAAGAACACCGAGATATTTAAATGATTATGTTCGATAAATTAGATAAGCGTATAGCTATAGAAATAATAAGTTAGATTATTTATAAGTTATTTTTAGGTTTATAAAAAAATAAATATATATAATATATATATATGTATATAGTATATTAATATACTTATTCAGTTGTTATTTAGTTAAAGAAGGGAGATGTTGTGACGTAAGTTGAATAGATTGCCAGAAGATATTTGTAAAGGTTAGGGAGTTTCTGGCAGGCGACATTCGACAGAAAACCGTTATAAGTTATAACAGTCTCATGCAAAATGTAATAGAAACTAATAGAAACGTAATAAATAACTTCAATCATAAAATGTATATTGTTTATATATAACAAACAATAACATAACAATAAGGTAAGAGAAAACGAAAATAAAGTATTAACTTTAACTATCTGTATCTTCGTATTATTAACAAATTGGACTAACATAAATTAGGTTACATCGTAATTCACTGTTGCCCTGTGTCCCATTAGTAGCGGACCACCTGTATAGTTAAAATGTACTGTGAGCGTCAAAAAAAAATAAACAGCTGTTGTTTTTCTATTAAAAGGTTAATAAAAATACTTAAATTTTAATTTTTTTTTTATTTAAATGTTAATAACGAAAATCAAAAAGTTTTATTACAGTCTTCACAACTGATATATACTATATTTAAATCAATAAAAACATGAAAAAAAAACAAATCATTACCCGTAATAATTCAGTTAATTGTAAAGGTCTACCGATTTTACGCGTCAAAACAAAGTAAACAGAATACGTAAATAATACATATTAAGTACAAAAATAAATATAACATCAACTTTTAATACTTGGTTTGAGCTCCTTTGGCCTTCAGCATCTCCCTTAATCTCCTTGGCATGGATTCCACCAAGTTTTTTGTAACATCTGAAGGAATTTTCATCCATTCTTCAGTTTCAAGCTTTTTTAAGGTCGTCTTTATTTGGAATGGTCCTTTCTCTGATCTTCCTGACAAGGTGATCCCATAGATGCTCTATGGGATTAAGGTCTGGAGACTGCGGTGGATGATCTAATGTTTTAGGGACTCGGTATAGCAGATATTGCTTCACAATTTTGGAAGTGTGTTTTGGGTTGTTATCCTGTTGCAAAATCCAGTTCTCTGATAAGCCCAATTTATTAACACTCGGGGTAACATTGTTCTTTAAAATGGTTAAATAGTCCATTTTATTCATTGTTGATTCTATAAAAACTCGGTAATCTAGTTATATGATTACCTGATTACTACCCCTGACGCCGCCATACAGCCCCAGACCATAACCGAGCCTCCACCGTGTTTGATGGTATTGGTAACAAATTTCTCTTTGAAGGCCTCATTTTTTTGGCCGCCATATCTTTGTTGGTTTTCTCTTTCCGAAAATTTCAAATTTACTCTCGTCACTGAACAATATATTTTTCCAAAAATCTGGAGCTTCGATTTGATACTTCTAGGCGAAATCAAAACGTTTCTGTTTATTTATTTTAGATATATAAGGCTTTTCACGGGGTATCACTAAATAGTGTGTATCTTCTACTTATTAGTGTTTATTTTTAATAGGAAGTGGAGTATTTTTAGGAAAGTTTTACGTTTGTAATAAAAATCAAAATTATAAAATATTTGTTTTTATTTTTACTTGTAATATATTGTTATAACTTAAATTTAAAAAAATTAAATTCTGTTTATATACATATGTATATATTTTAAAGTTTCCACCGAGTCACCATCAAAACTGCATCTAATGAGTCTTCTATAAGTTTCCTATATGTATAGTTGCACCAAGTTGCACATACTTACCAATCTTCACAAGGAACTTGTATGTAAAATCTTCCGGAAGTTCCAGTAATTTCACATCATGAATGTTTTATTTTGGCAAACATAATTAAAATAAAAATAATCGTTCTTTCTTTCTATATCGCGTAAATTAGGTCTCGACACGGTATCGAGTTCCGACTCGTTTAGTAGATGACCGTTAAATTTTAGCTTGTATCACACCACATGTTGATCACGTGGTACCGACGAGTAATCCCGAGCAAAATAGTGCTGTGCCTACGAAGTACCCGAAGGAAAAGTACACGTCTAGTGTAAAATTTAATGTTTTATATATTACATAACTTCACTAACATAAGTAAAAAAGAACTCTCCTTTAGAGAACTGTAAAAACTACTCTATTAAGTGAATAATATATGAACTCTATATTAATTTTAAATATAGTGTACATTAGAGTTATTTTTACCATGTGATATTACAATTTTTACTCTAATTCTTTTTACCAACTACTCTAAAATTTTTACAGGACACGATTTTTTCCTGTGTGGTACTTGAACTTACGGAAGTGCTTGCTATCTGCGATATGTCGTTTGCTATTTTAACCGCACTTGTACATGGATTATTCTTCACTTCTCTGACCACAGCTCTCGCCTATGCCGTATGTATTGCTATTTCGCGTAATTTTTGGTATTTACAATTAACTTCGACGTTCAACCACCTGCTGTTTCTTCTAAAATGATCTAAAGTTGTCATGGCATAAGTACTTATACGAAAAGAGTGATGCTTTCCCTAAATATAAAATGAAATTACAACAACCGGATCGGCTGTTTACTTTTCTTTGACGCGTAAAAATCAGGGTATTTTTACTCTAAAGGGGATTTACCATATTTGTGGGGGTTTTTGCTTAACTATTTTCTACGAAGGGATAGCTCCCAAATATAGTCGTAAATTCTGGTATCTAAATTTTTATTGTATGTTAACAGAATCGTAGTAAAAAGGGTTTTTAGAAGTAAACAACTAGTGTTTACTTTCTTTTGACGCTCACAGTATATGTATATGGTTAAAAAAATTTTATATGCCGATATTCTCATGTATATTATTAGAATTATAAGAATCGGACTCGATTAACGATGAGAAGACAACAAGGAGAGTTGAAGAGCTCTGCGACATAAAGAAAGGAGCAGACCGAGAAAACGATGGGTGGATGTGGAAGAAGGTTTGAGAGAAATGGCAGGAGGACAGAATGGAAACAGATCATTTAGACTTAAACTTTTAATGGTCTAGCTCTCAGGGCTAGTAAGTTAATTTCTGCTTGAAAAGTTTTCTCCCTCGATAATACTTGTTAGCTGTTACAGCAATTTTTCCATTAATTATCAGATTTTTGGAAATTGAGATGGGAAATTGGAAAACATGAAATTAAAAAAAAAATAGAGTTAAAATAAAAGTATATTAAGCAAAATATAAAAGCAGCTAAAATGAAACTAGTTAAACTATTATTAAATAGTTTAACAAACAGCGATATTAAACAAACAGAACACAATAATTTCGTTTTTGTTTCATACAATAAAATTAATAATTACGATATTAACAAACATAAAAAATTTTCGAATTCTTCATTGCGCAGTATCTATGTCTTAGATATTATATTAGAAATAATTTATTTCCTCGAACGTCTTGAAATAATATTTTCAGTACTTCTAATAATGTTTCTATTGAAAGATATTTGAGGTGGACTATAATGTCCACATTCGTTCACAATTCGACATGTTGAAGCTGAAAGTTTCATTGATATATGATGATGCGTTCCGTTGGTATAAGAAAAGATCGATATGCGATTTTCGGAAAACATAGAGATCTTTCGATTTAACCAAATACATGTGGAACAATCATGAATTGACATGATATCACGAACGAAAATTCTTAAAAATTTTGATAAAACATTATTATCACGTAGCACCATTTCCAGTTTTGCTACGCGATTGATTCGCTCTATCACATTTAAGATTTCAGCTTTTGCTTTTATCGTCTGAATATCGCTAACAGCCAAACCGTTGATTACGTTAGAAAGTGTTATTGTTACGAAGAAATTAAAAAATACGAAAATTATTATGTCTAAAAGTGAGCTTAAATTTCCGTCTTGTAATAACGATCCAGTATCAAGTTCGCCCGAAAACATCGCGATTACTTTAATATATGTTGAAATTGAATTATCAAAAAATTTTTCGTTTTTATGTTCAGTACTATTTTTGTATGATTTACGATAAATAACGTAAAATGCAAAAGTGAAGGCCACAAGTAAAATTGAAGCCCATAATACAAATTTAAAAAAATTCCACGAAACCGTTTTAAGAATGGAAACGTAAGTGGAAAAATGCAGAATTCGAGCAATTAAAAACATCATTTTAAGTGAAGACGAGAAAATAGCTGCGGCGAATATTTCATTATAATAACCTGTTGAAAACAATATAAAAATATCTAAATAATTTTCCGGGTCCATTATGTAATCGTAAGTATGTAAGTACATTTGTAGAAATTCTTTTATGAGGAATATAACATAAGTAATGCTTAATAGATAGATAAAACCATAATTATTATCGGTATATCTTTCAGTACAAATATGACCGATTAAATAGGCCACAAACAACGAATGAAATACACAATTAATCCTAAATAACCGTTTCATTTTAAAACACTTAAGATAGAATATCGTCGAAATAATCGGGTGATGTAATAAATGATGCAGTTTGGGATTTTTACCTATACGCAGGATTACTTCTGTTTCTGACGATTTAACAGAAAACAACGTTGTATAATCGAATGTTAAAACCTTCGATTCTTCACATTCCTGAAAAAGGAATGATCGCTTTTTTATACAGCTATCTAAATGTTCTTCTAAATCCTCTGCGTAGATATTATCGATAGGCATAACTTCTACCTCATTTTTAATATCCAATCGAGCACCTCGTTTCAATAGAGTAATAATCGTCTCTAGATTCGCGTATTTTGCGGCGTAATTCATCGGAGTATTTTTTTTTCAACTAACAAAAACTTGAAACAATCTTTATATTTATTATTATTATTGTCGTTGTCTTTCGCTTCGTAAATAAGGTTCTGAAGTAATATTGACAAAGCCTTGCCAAGCATGTCAGCATCATAATATATGTTCGTATAAGATTGCTTACGAAATAACTCTCTCAAAAGAATAAAATTTCCGTTTTTGGATGCGATGTATACTCGTGATCTTTTTAAATGAAAATTAAAGAAGGATGGCTAGCTCGAAGTCGGGGAAGGTCGGGTTGGTTTACTTTGAAACCCTGCGCGAGGCTAAGGGGCCGGAGTAATCACGACGGACAAAGCAGGTAGAGAAGGAGTAATTTAGAATTTGTCACTACGGGATTTTTAAATAGGTTTATTGTTATAGAAACCAGCTAAATATTCGATTAAATTATCGAAAATAGCATAATAAATTATTTAATGTATTATGTTTTACTAAAAAATGATTTTTGGAAAACAAATAAAAATTGTTTCTAATTTAAATCAATTTCATGATGATAATATATTAAGATATTAATACTGATTAATTATTAATATTATTACAGTGTGATTCAAAACTTCTTTTATCAAAAGTTAAAAAACGTAGAACGTTTTGTCACTTAAAGTTTTTTGTTTTTTTGCTCCGTTTTAATTTTTTCTATATTTCAACCAATTAAATTATCGTATTTCTACCAAATCTGAATGGAAACATACGGCTTCAAAACACACCACCTGAACATTATAAAGTATTAAAATTTGTTTAATAATAAATGTCAGTATTTATACAAACCAGTTAACTATTTTTTTATTTTATTTTATTTATATTTTGTCTTGCGCTCGTTCCCGGAAATAAGTAAAAATGCCGCCTTTGTGTCATTTTACAACCCTCGAAATAAAGAGACTATTTTTAAATTAATAATAATAAAGAGACCTTTTAATTGATTTAAATTAGGAACAATTTTTATTTGTTTTCCAAAAATCATTTTTTAATAAGACATAATACATTAAATAATTTATTATGCTATTTTCGATAATTTAATCGAATATTAAGCTGGTTTCTATTACAATAAACCTATTTAAAAATCCCGTAGTGACAAATTCTAAATTACTCCTTCTCTACCTGCTTTGGCCGTCGTGATTACTCCGGCCCCGTAGCCTTGCGCAGGGTTTCAAAGTAAACCAACCCGACCTTCCCCGACTTCGAGCTAGCCATCATTCTTTAATTTTCATTTAAAAAGATCACGAGTGTACAACGGATTATTATTTTCAAGGATTGGTTTGATTCCTTTTAGTACCAAAAATATTATGATTTCTGTCAAATTTCCATCACAAGCCAAACGAAAACAACCATCACTATCAAAATTGTCTCTAATATCCGCTTCGTTTGATAGAAAATAATCTATAAATCTTTGTTCTTTACGTGACCGTATGAGAGCTTTTAAGTTGTGCTGAATGAGATTTATTTCATTAATTGATTCTTTGCTGCTATAGTGGTCAAATACTTGATTTGGAAAATCTTGATCTCTCGCTAAGGGTAGAAGCTCTATAGCGGATACATCTGAGGTGGAACTACTTTCAGAAGTCATTTTTACCTGAAAAAAAATGCATGATAATTATAAAAAATATATAGTATATGAGAATTATTCATGAAAATATAGATTTGTGTAATCAAATTCAACGTGGAGCTAGCAAAGATTATCATCCGTAAAAGCATACACGCAACCCTTACGCCCAAAAGCTAATTCGAACCTTGGACGCTATTACCAAGATTATGGAGACAACATTCTGAAGGCGACCGTCGTACCATCAAGTTATTAGCATATATAAAGTGAAAGAAAAGTTTAGAAACTAATATACTCTTAAATGGGTAGCCAGAGCCTTAAAAAATGTTGGTATGTGCTTTTGGTATTGTTAAGTTAACAACAGAACAGATTTTAAACACTTAATTTAGTGGGATTATCCATTTTAGCGATTCAGTTGTTATAAATAAATTTAATATGGGGCATAGCATATTTTATTACTAATTAAATTATTAATTTTACGAAATTATTAAGAAAGCTGATAAGATATGTCAACCTATTTGGATCCAAGATACAAAATGAACTTTTTTGATGGTGATTTAACTAACGAAGCAACTCTAAAAAGAGGATATTTTAATTAATAATTGGCGATATTTCCACAAGGATCCTTCAAGAAATGAATTCTATAGCGAATTTTGCAAGTTATCGATGAAAATAGCAACATCGAAAATTTTATAAAAACTTCAAATATTGTTTTCTCAAAAACTCATTGGAAAGAGGATACCCTTATTAATACATTGGAAAATTATCAAACTCATATTCCAAGAAATGGATTTTATACGAATTTTTAAAACATAATCGGCGAAAATTGCAAAATTCGAAAAAATTTTTGACATTCCGCTAATGGCGCTAAATTTCATTTCGACTAAATAGTAGTTGAGTATGCAACTTGACGAAGAATCACATAAACCCGAAATAATTTTAAGTTATAATCAAACAAAAGAAGCAGTAGATATGGTTGATAACATGTGCGCTGCCTAACAAACAAACTCACAAATATTGTATTTCACAAAACATTCCGCGGGAAATATGTGTCGACGAAGAATTTTCTTCAGTAATTTAGCAATTGCGTTAATGAAAGAGCTACTAGAACTAATTATGAGAGCTAAAATAATTACGCTGCTAAAGGATATTCGAGTGTTTTTGCACATGTCCTACATGGGATGTCGTTGAAGTTAGCAACGGATTCAGAAACGAAATTCACATTTTTACAGCGGACCAAGCAAATAGTGTTGTACTCTATTTATAATTTATTAGTATTTATTAATATTATATTTATTAGTGATAATAACTTTCAATAATGACTTTCAATTAAAATTCATTATTATTAAATAAAAATGTGGGATCGAAATCAAATCACCCTCTCATTATGTGAAAAATTCATATTTGTATTGAAAAAGCTTGATGATCCATTAAGTTCACTCCAAATATCAAAATCACTATTTCGAATAACATTCTAAGCACCACCCGGAAATACGTAAAAAATTCATAACTTTTTTCAGAACCACCAGATTTAGTCGAAAAATGAAAAATAACGTTTTGAATAACATATCCCCGAGGTTCGCGGAAATTCAGGGGATAAGGGATCGAAATGAACATGCAGAGCATGTCATGATTGTGGCATGTGTTGTAGGTAACGCAATACCGCCAATGATATTATTCAAAGAATGATAAATTCATGAATTATTTAAAGGCGTTCGTCAAAAACCTACATTTTCCACAACAGAGCCGAAAATGTTTCCAAACAGTTTCCACGAGCCCAAAAGGAAGTATGATAACTGACCTGTTCTGCAAATGGCTAGACCATTTTACTAGATATAAACCTGTTGGAACAGTATTACTCATGTTTGATGGTGCCATCTTGATATTGCAATTGCAGACAAAGCTGAACAAAATGATATTGTACTGTTATGTCTTCCAAGCAATACAACACACGAGCTCAAGCCTCTCAACAAAACAGTGTTTAGAGACTGCAGGAAGTTAGCTCCCCATTTTTGGATTTTTAAATTTTTCATTGTTGTTCTAGATTATTCTAGAGTTGTTCTACATTGTTCTAAAGCGGCAAATCGAAAAAATATAAACTTCGCGAGAAAACCGAAAAAACGGGTTTTTTGACTAGCCCCCCATTTTTGGAAAAATCAAATTTTCTTTGTTGTTCTGGGTTGTTCTAGTTGTTCTAGTTATTGTTCTAGAAAATCAAAATTATGGGATACAGCATTACGAAGTTATAACTAAAAATAGGTTTGGCCGCCGAAATGTCTAGTTGATTGCTGTGACCATAGTTTTTCTATTATCAATTCCATATTACAAATATATACTTATTATAGCTAACGCAATCTGGAACAGCTATTATTTTCACTAGAACAATTCTCTAAAGGGCACTTTACTCTTTGAAAGTTAAAGTTTTTGGAAATTTCAATCAGTAATTCTTGTGTCAGCGGTTTTATATTACACAATAAGGATTAAAAAGCATAGAACAATCTAAAACAACTCAATTAAATATTATTTAATGACTTACGAAAAAAATCTGTACAAGTTGAAGAAGCTACTGAAATAAATGTACAAATGTGCATATACACTCAGCAGCAGAAGTCTGCGTACAACAAACGTAGTATGCTTTAAGCGGTAAAAAAATAGTGATACTCTAATGCGATAAACATCAACTCATATTTTTTCTGTATTATGTAATTTTTTAACAAACTATAAATCAATAAAATATAAACATTACTTAATAAAAAAAAATTAAACTAAAAATACTTCAAATAATGCCTATGCAAAAATCTGCGTACAGATCAAGGCGACTTCTATAAAAAATATATTAGTGGGAGGTCGGATAACCCTTACGTTTAATGACCTCCCTTAAACGTTTCGGCATGGATTGTACTAATTTATTCGTGTCTTCCCTAGTGATTTTTGCCCATTCGTCAATCATAACACTTTTTAGCACTTCCTTCGATGTTATATTATGTTGACGAATCCTGCGTTCCAATAAATCCCACGAGTCTTCAATCGGATTTAAGTCCGGTGACTGTGGGGTTGTTTTCAATTGTTTTGGGGTGTTATATAGCAGCCAAAGTTTGGTATTGTGGGCACAATGTTTAGGGTCGTTGTTTTGTTCAAAAATGTATTCGGACCCCAAACCCAAGTTGTCGGTGCTTGGCTTCAAATTTTCCTTTAAAATGTCCATATATAGTTTATAGTCCATTGTGGATGTTATAAATGCCAATTTTCCTACTCCTTTGGCGCACATACATCCCCAAACCATCACTCCACCACCTCCATGTTTTACAGCAGCTTTTAAGTTTTGAGGATCAAGAGCAGTACCGGGTTTTCTCCACACAAGTTGTTTTCCTTTAATGCCGAAGATGCAAAATTTTCTCTCATCTGTAAAAAGAACCTTCTCCCAGAACTC